CCTGCTACTTTATTTTTGAGTCTCGGTGATTGTCTTGCCTTCTTTGTCCTCGACCAGTCCTCCTGTATTACAATTTTTCCCTGCTAGTTTCTTCGTTGTACTGTAACAGCTTAGGTTGGTTGGTTAAAAGTTGACCTCAAACAACCAAGTATATGCCAAAACAGTATAGTTCAAGTATTCATTCACTTCCTCATTTTGTATAGGCATTATATTTCCTATTATCTTATATTAAACGTTGAAAGGCTTTGTTTGTCTGAACAAATAATCCCACGCTCCACTGTGACTGCGCGAAGATCTAAATAAAGACCTATTCACTACTTGTTTGTTTTCTTTTATCAATAGCACAAGGGTTACCTAGAGGCACGAAAGTACCATATAGTTATCTCATATTTCATTCGGTTGCATCTTTGGCAGCTATCGTCGCTAGGTCTTCCAAATATTTCTGCTTGTCGGCCTTAGTGTTCCTCTTCACTTGCTTGTTCGTTTCTGTGTATTCAGTTTGTGCACTTACTTTCTCCGTTCTCGTTCGACTATTGTTAATTGGTGTTTTCTTGTTCTTCTTTTATTGAATCTTGTCCAGTGTTTCGATTGAGGTCCATTGATTATGATGATGCTTACTGCGTTCCAGCACCTCCTGACACGTTGAAGTAAGTGCTTCTTTGATCGCTTTCAAGTTGTTCTTCACAGTAGTTTCTTCTTTCAGGAGATCTTGTAGGTATTGGAACCTGGTGTTGAGAGTTATCTTGAATCGATTGAGCTTGTTAGTGTTTGGAAGGCTATACTGAACCTTTGTATTGCCGTTTATCCAGTTGTTCAATGCTTCTTTGGCTTCAGTTTCATCTTGGCAACCAACAGTTGGTAGTGGTTTGAAATTATTTCAGTTCCTCTCTTTGTTCTAACGTCTTCCAATAACCTTGTGAACATTATTACCGATGCAAATATGATGTGTCTGGTTTTCTGTGGTGTGGTCCAGTGAGATTCATGTAGCTTTGTGTATGTGTTTGTGAATGCTACTTGTGAGCTGCTCTCTGAGATGTAGTGTGGCGTCAAGTCGCGGTTGACTACGGTCACCACTACAAGAAGACTACGTGCCAGTTGCCAGGTTAGATCCATCTGTAGACCAAATATCAGAAGGCAATTAAAGTTTGAGGTAAGATGTATTTGTTGGCGATCTCGTGGTATCGACAGAATACTGAGATCGTGCTAAAGTTCACAAGCGGGACTACTGAGCGTAAGCGAGCCCGTGCAAGGTCACAGACAACGAAAGAATGTACATTTTTTAGTACACTTAAACAAACGGGCACAGTTGTTTATATTAATGAGTGTTTCAATTATAACAATCGCGTTCTCTTCATAAACGTAGGTCACTACAGAGATAATAAACATAAATAAGTTCGCCTTATTATCAAAGGTTCCTCTACACGTGCTGACACCAACGGCGTAATGAGAAATATTAAATCCAATAGTATTGTTTGATAATGATCCGGGCCCAAACTCCGACGTAGTGTGGGAAGACTTGAAAGGATGTTATGACACTATTATTACCTTCACTCAAAGGCCGTGGTCAATGAAGCAGAAGAACGGATGGCGGAGACTGCGTTTGTTTTTCAACAATCGTGGTAGTGCGTGTGTATGTAACCAAGGCTGCAATTAAACGCAACTCAATTTCGTAAATGTGCCCTTCAGCTTAGCAACCAATCAGAATGGGGCGGGAATTATTATATCCGCCATCTTTGTAAGCAATGGCGGTCGGCCTTCTTCGTTCTGTGCTTTTTTAAGCTGTTTCTTTTGTGTAGCTATGTAGTTTAATGTTTCAGTGTGCTAATATGCCGCAGTTAGTGTAACGTTCTATATGTCGGTGTGAAATTTACTTCGAATCAGCCTTGTTTTTTGGGTTTTTGCTGCTTCATGGGATTTTTTGCAGGACTGTAGTAATACTCTCACTAAAGAGCTAAGTGAGTGCGTAGACCAATGTAAGGTACCATACAGGGTGCCTTTGAGTTACTCGTGTTCCATTAGTGTCGTTAGAGGCATTACTTGCTTGTCATATGACATTTGAATAAGAAGCTATGAGATTAGACAAAGGGACGGTTAGGATGTGTAACGCGTGTCCATCCATCAGCTGCCGTGGCAACTCATGGTGGCTAGAATAAGTTGTGGAAGGACCCGAGTCTGTAGGTTTCCCAAGAAAATGACGAAGATATGCACCAAATCACCTTATAAAGAGCGCCTTCAATCACTTAACCTCTACCCATTAGAGTATAGACGTCTTAGAGGTGACCTTCTAATGGCTTACAGTATCCTTAACACTTCTAGACATTCTCTTAAACACCCACTTAAGCTTAGTCTCAACACTAACCTAAGGGGTAACACCCAGAAACTAGAGACACAACATAGCAGGACGGACTGTAGACGCAACTTCTACTCCTTAGGAGTTGTCAAATGCTGGGATTCGCTGCCGGCCGAGCTAGTCCAACCGACTTCCCAGGAGTCATTCGAGAGGCAACTGGGTCTATTCTTAAGGATTAAGGATAGTATCATACTATGATTTGCCAATTTCTTTCTCCTCTTTTATTTTTAACATGCCTAGGTTCCTGCCTGCAGGATTTGGTGATCCCCTGCTACTAGACACGGAAGCCTGTTAAGCGAAAGCTTCTATTCAGTCCACAACCATTTGAACACATGAACCAGGTGCTGAGAGGCTCGCTTATCACAAGTATCTTGCAACGATTAAGTAGATAAAACAAAGGAGCATTAGATTCAAAAATTTATTCAACAACTTCCATTAAGAATTGAATATCAAACAAAGGTTTAAACTAAGTTCCCGTTTAAAAGTTGTATTGGTAATTTTGAGCCGCAGTTTTTGTTGTTTTTTCCAAACGAAAGAGTAAAGGAAGTCAACAAATATTGGAAGTGGTTGTGAGACTAAAATGGGCGTCCAGCATTGTTTCTATAATCTGCTGTTAGTTGGGTCTCCCGTAAACAGTTCCATAGGGCCATAGTTCTAAGGACGAAACAGTTTTTAGGATCTGTGAAGACTCACTCCTGTTGCATTCTAAATGAAAAGTAGTGATGAATTTAGTCAGAAATGTGGAATAGATAAATAACCAAATTACATGTTTTTTAGCAAAGAATTTATGCAGTTGTGATTTGCCTTGAGTTCAAGGATATTAGATCAGGCCAGCTACTATTAATTGTGCAAAGCGTAACATGGGCTTAGTACCGCATCACAATGCTTTTATTATTTTGCTCCCATTTAAGTATTCCCATGCATCTGTGTCTGGTTTAACAGGAAGACATACAAGCAGAGTTAGTGTCTGATAAACTAAAAGTCCCGGTTGTCAAAAAGATTCTTAACATTTGTCCACAGCCAGCTGCATTTAATTGAGACACAGAACACTCATCTTCTAAGACTGTATACTGCTGTTATGTGGGCAACTAAAACCTCAGACGCTTAGCTATCTTGCTACCGATGTTATTGCTGGGGAAATTGTTTAATGACAGTGATCATGAAATTTGGTCAGTGATAGATACTTATCGCTATCTTATAATGTATGACAGCAACAGCATCAAAGTCACGTTTTTTCCTATTATTAATCAGACTGATGTGAATCAGTATATTCATTAAAAACAGGCAGCTATACTTACTAAACTGATCTGCTTCGTTACAGGCTTCAAGCACTATACTTAGGTATACCATAATTCTTACAACTAAACTGAACTATACGACAACCGAGAATACTAAACTAAGCAAGTGTCATATTTATTGTTTCATTTGCACAGACATGTTGCTCAAAGTAGTTAAATGGACATAATTAAGCCGATAAAACCAAAACACGAAATATAGGCCAGTTGAACTTACCTAACAGAAGACAAAGGATATATATTGATTTCCGACTGAAGACAACAGTCAGTTGTTTGTAGAAACATAGTTTACAGTACAACAAACCTTTCTTCAGTAACATTATGCACTGATGGTCCATCTGGAAACAATCAACTATGTGATTAAACTCACTGACTTGGGATAACATCTCAGCGTGCAATGAACGTACAGTGTAACGCAGTCGGATGTGGAGAATAAAAATTAAAAACGGAGCAAAATTAACTACATAATCTAGTTATTTAATTAAAAATACATTATGAAATGACAAAATCTGTGGTTGCTTGAACGCACAGATGACCCTGTGCGATACATTAAGTTTACATGGTTGCGTTGCGGATAAGTTCAACATGTAACCAACACAACTATATCCGTTTTCGTACTATTGATATAGAGAAACAACAGATATTGAATGTAAGTGTGTTTACACATAGAGTGTGACGTTACAGAAATCAGTGAATATACATGTCACAATAAAGTTAAATGACTTTCAGGTAACCACAGTGATTAAAGAGATTTTAGTATGTCTAAAACTGGGATTTGCAAAACTATAGAGGGGCCTAGAACGTAGGGATTAGATCAGACCGTGCACATGTTTTATCAAACAACAATACTAGTACTAATACACCTATGATTCATCCTAGCTTTTGAACAGACTTTAATAACTCAGAGAGCATGTGAAATATATCTATTCAGGTACTAACTCTCTACAATCGACTTCCAAAAACATTATTATTGAGTGAAAGTGGTTTAAACACCGTCGACGAATGGTTTAAATTACGTAGAGACACTTTCATCAAGTCTATCAGTCGGCTTATCTCTCTGTGACTAATACCAAACCTCGACGGCCTTCCTTTTAGTCGAAGTCTTTCTTTCTTGAAATGATTCGGAATGACCGTTCATTTTTGGATAAACAGCGTCTTCCCCATGATAACGGGAAACACATAGAAAAAGGGTAAGGGCTAGATCATGGATATCATTCTTTCAGGTTTATGGGGTGCCAAAACATGTATAACACCTTCATATGGCTAAGAAACATCTTTTGTTCCCCAAAAGTGGACTTCGAAGAACGAAAATTAGCTACTTCTGCCTATCAAAGTTTGAAGTTTGACTAGGTCACGACCTATCCAACCATGCGGGATTTCGACCGGGCGCCATTTCGTTTGTTGCAATGCAGTTTACAACGTTGGTATTTTTGATTCAGTTATGGATATGTGTTTCTAGTCATGGTCATGATCATGTCCATAGTCATGAACCACCCCACTATAAGTATTCTAAGGAAGCTAATATTGGGTAATTGAGTCTGTTTTGTTTGCGTTTTATTGTAAACTTTATTTGGTATTTTAACGGATAATTATTCACTTATTTGTAAATGATGTTTCCAACATTTTTAACTAACCATTCTTCACCAAGTTATCTTCATGCTCTCGAATTAGTAAGCGGTGAAGATTCTATTTCATTCTCATTTCGAATGGATATTGGTAAAGTGAAAGTTTTCGCATACTTAGTTTCAATACTCCAGGAAGGTATTAAAGTGAGCGCAGATCAAATTGAAAGACAAAAATAATCCTAGTTAGTTCGTGCCACTGTATCGTATCTATAGATTGATAGTGAATATTTCTAATTAGTTACGATGACTCAATCTATCTACATGGGAAGCAAATTTCTGGATGTGACTAATTATAAGAAACTGAGCATAAGATCGGTAGTATAAAGACCATGACTAAAGATTGTCAATCATCTTTCAATCTTAAACCTCAAAACACTTGTAGCGGTTATTCACTGAATATACTTCTACATACCAATGCTTTTGTACATTGTAATTGTAATATCCAGTAAAACCACTGAGAAAAGAATGTGGTCTGTGCATTGATGGCTATTTGTTAACAATGGGGTGTATCCCAGGTTCCTCGTTTCTTATCGCACTGTAGAAGGATAAAATGCACCAGACAGCTGTATTTTTTCGTATTCCTAACATCAATAAAGAGGTGAACACCTTATCAAACCGCAAGCTGAAAATTTTGGGGTTTAGTATTGCCACCACAACAAGTACCATATTGATAGTAAGCAAATGTGACTGATTTTATGCCATAACTATTCGTTTAAACGACATTTTAGAACTAATTAAAACTTGAATTCGACGTATTTGTTACTTAATTATTACAGAAATGTCATAAAGTCTCAAGGCGCTCTTCGTTGTCGAAATAAGATCTTTGTTAACTACTAGGTATCGAAAGATCATTTGTGTGACATTTTCTAAAGTCCTATTGATCTGGAACATAGTGACCAAGATAATGACATCTACATAATAGACGTAAATGTAACTGGTCTGATATGGATATCATTATGATTCCATTAATCGCTATAAAGCAAACATAAAACTCGACCTGGGTGCGCTACATTAATTCGATTTGTAATCGTTTTCAAGGTCATAGCGTAATAGTAAATGGGTCTAAGTAATTTTCAAGAGCCATGCATCATTTTCTTTAATGTTTGGGAGTCTCATATTTGATGCTGACATGACACATCTGTCTGTGACAAAACAGGTTCTCAAACCAAAATCTAACTTGGCATCAAGAAAAATTTATGTAACACTGACATTGTTGTGATGGATAAAGTAATCGTAGACTTGGTGACTATAAATTTTATTACTTATGTAGTGAACGAAAACTCAGGAGAAGACGTTTAACGTCCCGGGTGCAGTATGGACATCAGACCTAGATGGCCCAGCACGTCAACAGAGCTACGATCGGCATGCCGGTGGGCTCGCCATTTCGACGGGAAGCAAGGCATGGACCAAGAAAGCGACACAGCGGGTAGAACAACTGCGAGAGCGACTTTTCGAAATGGAGGGGGACAGGTGTGGTGCTTGCTACTCTCGCGGACAGAGTAATTTTGCGTAAAACAATAAATTGTTTCACCTTACCTGAGTTTTCGTTCACTACACTTGCACCAAAGGATAGATATTAGCCTTCCAACTGTAGGCCAAGTACACTATGACGTACTCTATGCTAATGAAATTATTTTTAATCATATATTTACTTGTACTTCACGATATTTAACTGACAGTAGTCATGTTGGAGCAATTTATACTAACAGAAGAAGAACGTGCTCTGTACTTTTACGCATCTGTTTACATCACTTGTCTAAATTACAGAAATTGAATGCAAACAAACACGTAAAAGCTAGAATCTTATGTTCTTTTTTAGTGAACGCGAACTAGTGGAGTCTGTACATTAGTAGACTTGGTAATTTACGTGATGTAGTGACATTTTTGTGATTGAGATTTGCGAATGAAGCAGTTGCTTTTAGTGTTGAGTTCTGTGAGCTAGCTGATTTAATTGTAGATCCTTCAATGTCGTTCTGTAGAGGATCATCGGCTTCTACTAAATACAGGAATGACGTTTACTTTCATCCTGATGGCCTTGTTTGTAACCGATTATCTTTGTAAGTTCGGTTGTCTTCATTTGTCCACGTATTCTTGATTGTCTTGTTCATTTGACTTTTACCTATTTAATTGATTGATTTTTTCGGATAAGCTAATAGGTCGAATCGGTGTCAGTATGCTTGTTGTTTGCCAAACCGTTTAACTGGCATATCACTAGGAATTCTAAGACACCTAGAATTCCCTCACTCTGAAATTTTGACACCTTTCCAATCGAATTCGTATTCGTGGTTATCCACGTGTATTTATATCCCTGATCAAGTGTCGTTTTATTAGTATTCTGTATTCGTGTATGGATAGGTGAAGAGAGCATCAATTTTCTTAACTGTATTTCTCACAGTTGGTATAATTTCTGTTGACCATGCTGTACTTATCTTCTCTCGCTGTTGTATCTTAAGATTCGCATTAAATGTAGTGAAAAGATTGAACTGATTTGTAGAAGACATTTATTTTAGAATCCTTCAAAATCCTCTTAGTAATTTCTGAGATGTTTTTTACATATAGCAGGACGATTCGTTTCCTGGTTCATGAGGTTAATTTTACTGTGTTCAGTCGATTCGACAGGCATCTTTTGACAGTCACTGGGCGAACCACGTTTTGTATGAGACAAAATGAGTTTCTTCATTTTTCTGCCTAATTATAGTACTGGAGTAGGTTTTGGATCTTTTGAATGGTACTTGTACTCTGCTTGTTACTGTTGTAATTTAGTATTTTATCTGTGTGACTTAGCTTCCTGTGATCTGAGAATACACTCCTTGTATGTGGTTTTTTTTCTAGGTATAAGGAAAATCACGTACGGGAAACACGTAAAGATTCCTCTGAGCAACTGTGGGTCGAAGTATTCGGAGCTGTGTTACTCATTAGTATCGCTCCTTTTATTATATTGTGCCTGATGCCAGATTTGAACAAACACCGTGGCTTCCTCAAGGTCCTTCTCGCATTTGCAGCTGGTGGTTTACTGGGAGATGCATTTCTTCACTTAATTCCTCATGCATTGGAGAGTGGACATTCTAATCCTGACCACGCTCACGAGGAAAATACTGGAGATGGACATGGTCACAAGCGTCACTCCTACGTTGGACTTTATGTTGTTGGTGGAATTTTCGTGTTCTTGTGCGTCGAAAAATGTATCCGACTTTTTAGAAATGAACATTGTGGAGGCCATACTCATCATGCAGTGTCTAATGTTGACGGTGAAAATAAAGGAAAGAATAAGAAAAAAGGGGAAGATACCAAAAGTGGAGCTAAAACTAAACGTAAGCTATGCATAGAATTACATATTAAGTCATCAGGGTTAAGGTATCCATTGTAATTATTTAAGTAACTGCATTACTTTTGAATAGAAAAGAGAATCATCATCTAACGTAAGTAAATTTGTTAGTTGAAAATAGTATGAAGAAGCGAAACTTTCGCCTCTTGTAAATTATCAATAATAATAATTAGCAATAATTACCATTAAGACTGATATGTAAATTATGATGTCTGACTAATCACATGTTCCTTACCTGAGTTGTTTCTGAAAAAATCCTTTCAGTGACAGTTAATAGAGCAGTTTTAAAACTGTATTATTTCAAGAAAACTCGCTACAATTTCTTGTCATCAGTTGTTTAAAGATCAAATTGAATTATGAAATATTTTCGATAATATAATGGATACTTATAATTAGATCTTGTTGTATTAAAACATCTTAATCGTCGACTGAAGTGAAATTATACAAACTTTATAGTTCTCATTCTTTTTTAACAGCTACAGACTTCAAAGTTTCTGGATATCTTAACTTGGCAGCAGATTTTACGCACAATTTTACTGATGGGTTAGCTATTGGTAAGTTTTATTTATGTTACTTTTTTACACTGTAATTGATGTTCCATTAAACCACGTATTTATTTGGTATTTTGGAACTATCTATATCTGGTAAGCCAAGACTATTTTTTACTAAAGCGGTTGAGTATAGCTGTTGATGTATTGCTGACTATAGAGTCTTTCATTTGCTACAAACCAGCGAGATGTCCTCCTGCCTATCATTGATAGGTGAGTTTACTGTACAGTACTTGTCTGTTTAACGTACTCTATGGAACTATTACTTAATCATATGCGTATGGTGGAGTCATGAAGTGAGTTATACAAAAGTCAGGTATCACATATTAACATTAAGTTAATGAGGCTCCAAATCTTCATTGACTGTGTGGGTTGGAGAATGTGTCATGGATCCTTAACCAGCACATACCTCGTCGTACTATGTTAGCTGGCAAAATAGTATGCCAGAAAAATACTAGAGGTTACCTAATGAAAAGGTACATCATTCCAAACTGTTGATCTGTGTCGGGCTGGTAAGTGCTTGTTTCCTGGTTAAATTCTGCGTGTTAATTGTAATCAGTGACTAGAGACGAGTGGCTGAGTTTAAAATCAGCCACACTAACGGAGGTGCGTTTGTTATGGATTTTCCTCTAAATTAAATTCATTAAATTAACTAGTTCACCGGTTGCTTGAGTATGAACCACATTCTAAATGTGAGGGCCAATTATGCTTCCTGGTTGCCCAAGCCAGAGTAGGTGGAATGGTGTTAGAAGCAGGGACTCAATGGCTGAAAATTAAATACCTTTACCACTAGAGCATTGCTCCTCTAATAGAAGGGACTATTGGGATATCCTCATATATGTCTTGCCTTTGGACAATATTTGTTGCCAATTTTTTCGAACAGTTAATCCCATTTATGAATTTGGATATGTGGTGAGAAGGTGGAGGTTATCAGAATTATGTGATATATTCGCGCAATACATTTTGAACAATCCGATCACACATATAATTGTTAAGACATTATACATTAGAAAATGGGTCTATTAGACAAATTAAAAGGTAAGCGGAAACAAAGGTAATAATAAAGTGCACAAAAACAATGCGAAAACCATACTGTATAATAAATCAGTATCACCAGGTTAGGTTAAAAGTTAAGAACAAGTTGTTTTTGAACACATGAAGGGGGTCTGAGTTTCCGTATAAATGAGGCTTCAACAAACCTTAGTATATGCCCTTGAGAACGTTTTGCTAAACTACAAAAGCTGACTTGATATAAATCTTATGACCGGTCTCAACCAAATGTTTCTCAATAGAAGAAGATATTTGTCTACTCTGTGATCTTATTTGACCATTGGAATTCATTTGTTTTTGTTGTCATTTAGGTATGTGTTCAGCCACTCTTACTTGAAGCTCACGATTGCTCCTCCCCATGTACGTGTTTCCGCACATACATCTAAATTGATAGACTTGTTTTTTGTTACTTTGCCAACTTATTGACTTCAAAACTAATGACATTCAAATTTTTGAATATCACATATTTTCATTGTGATGTAGTGTTTTCTTTGTTAACTATTGTTGCCGTATCTCACCAAAAGAAACTGCAGCTTCACATTAGTTCTTACGAATTTACAAAGCGGTTAATTATATTTATCACTAATTACACTTTACAATCTTGTTAAATATTTGCTTGAAGCTTCGTCGTTTGAAAGATCCTTCAGTTCAGATTTAAGTGGTTGTACTGAATTAAAATGTTTTTTTTCTATACATTTTTAGGTGGATCCTTTCTGGTTAGTAGAAATGTTGGTTTTCTGACCACTTTTACGGTTCTGTTACATGAACTTCCGCATGAGATTGGGGACTATGCAATACTTATACAATCCGGATTTTCTTCACGTAAAGTAAGTTTTAGTAAAGCGTTGTGATGTGGAATTGTATACACTCACTTTCGTTATCGGATTTAAGTTGAAAAGTATTGGCCAATCGAGCGAAACTGTGTGCTTTGAAATATATTTCATGTGGTATTCATCATTTGACTAGACTTGAGTTAATGAGTTTGGCTCTCAGCCATTCAATCTCTGTTTCAAACCACTCTACATCTACTTCGACTTATGCGACTGGGTGTCATTATTAGCCCTCACAATTAGGGTGTAGTTTATACCCAAGTATCTGATAAGTTAGGACGTAGACATTTCCTGCTTGTTATAAATTAACATCGGAACACGTTATGCTGATTCTTGTAAATCGGGTAATAAAAACACCGGTTGTTGCTTTTGCTAATTTTACTAAATGTTTTGTGATTCAGTGATGTGCGTATTACAGTAAGATATGTGTTATAAAGTTGGTGAATTTAAATCTTTCATTTGGAGGTGTGGAAATTGACCTAACCATTGTCAGGAAATGTAAGTATAGTGGAGTAAGAAGTGTAAGTAAAAGATTGGGTAGATAGTACTTTCTTAAGTCTACTTAGCAGATCTTTAATATTTATGATAAACCATTACTAAAAGGACATTTACGACACTTCAGAAACCTTCAGGTAACAACGTTGATGTCACTTACACTGGAATATACCCAAATAGGCATAGCCTTATACACCGGCGACTGGAAAGCAGGTACCTGCAAAAGTTACATTCACCATGTTGTGATCCACAAAAGGAATTTCGTCAACCTTGGCACTAGAGTGCACACATATAGTATAGAAGCGATTTGGACAAAACTGAAAGAATTCATCAATTGTTGTTGAGTCACATCGGGGGATTTCTATGCCACATATATTATGATTCCAGAACATCAGAACCTAGTTGTAATCTGTAGAGGTTTTCTAACCACATTAAAGCCATGTATCCATTGCCCCCAAATGCCCTGGTACGGCCGAGAGTGGGGAGAGTCCGCTCTACCTCTAGAAATGTTCTCACATGACCACGTGTATATAGCCTCTGCCAGGGAAGTCCTACTCGCTGCCTTCTCGTGGCGGTGGTGTTTACAAAAATGAGAGGACGAAAAGTGAATGTCCGACGCTTTAACCGGATTCCAAACCAATGGTGCACATGGGCTCCAGTATCCTGAGGGAACAAAAGGCGTATGAACCAATTGTTGGTCACCGCCTTCCATGGGACTGCATCTCCTTACGATGCTCCATTGCCTTGTGGATCAGACCTTCATGTCGAAGGCTCGGGGAGTGGCCCACTAAGAAAACCACCTGCTTCGGTTTGGGCACCCGGGCAGTATCACAGCCCTCACACATATCGAATGAGATTTGTGTGGCGCATATGTATTTGGTGCCTCCTTGTACCAATATCTATGTGTTAAAATAAAATAAATAAATAAACATGTATCCATTACAGTTCTTTCAATTTTCTTTAATGTATACCTGCTTTATATCACCTGTTATCTGACTGGCTGAAATTTCTCAAGGTCATTTAAGGTTTACTTAAACATCTCGTTACACATTTGTTTAGGCATTCGGCTCGTAATTATCGGGTTGCTAGTTGAAATCTCACTCGAACACAACTGGTCGAATGAGAGCTTATGGCAAACTGTCATCAAAATTGATTACCTCAAGTGGTGTTCGTCAGGGCTGCCCACTATCTCCATCCTTGTTTAACTTTGTCATTGACGTACTTTTAGAGATGACACTTTCCTCATCTAAATTTTCAGGGGTTGAACTTCTACCAGGAGATTCACTTGTTGACTTAGAATATGCCGATGACATAGTTCTATTTGGTGAAGATGCTAACAAAATGCAGTCTTCTGACCACTATAAGCAACAATGCAAGCATGTTCGGCATGCGATTCTCCCCCTCGAAATGCAAAATGTTACTTCAGGATTGGGTTGCATCGACACCCGAACTAATGATAGGGAGTGAAGTAGTTGAGCGTGTCGACCGCTTCACTAATCTTGGGAGTCTCATTAGCCCTTGTGGTCTGGTGTGTGACGAAATCTCATCACGGATACAGAAGGCTCGACTAGCTTTTGCCAACTTGCGTCATTTATGGCGTAGGCGAGATATCTGTCTATCAACCAAAGGACGTGTTTACTGTGCAACAGTTCGTTCCGTCCTACTTCATGGCAGTGAAACATGGCCGGTAAGAGTAGAGGATATTCGTGGGTTACTAGTATTTGATCATAGGTGTCTCCGAAATATTGCTCGTATATCCTGGGACCATCGAGTAAGTAACGCAGTTGTTAGGAAACGGGTACTGGGTAAGGATGACGAATCGATTGGTGAAGTAGTAAAACTTCATCAGTTGAGATGGCTGGGACACGTGTTATGTATGCCCAACCACCGACTACCTCGACGTGCAATGCTCAATGGTATAGGAGTAGGTTGAAAGAAAGTTAGGGGCGGCCAAACCAAAACATGGCACAAATCCATGAAGTCACTGACAAGTGGACTGAGCCATGTTGGTAGGTGTAGACTACCTGGTTGGGGACCGCGAGACGATAGCAACCGATTGTTAGAGACCCTGAATGATATGGCTCAAAATCGTTTGCATTGGCGCAGGTGCATACACTCTTTGTGTTCTCCCAAATCCTAATTTCATGAATCCTCCTTGTTTCTTTTTTTCCCTTTCCAAATTTATTTCACTGGTTTATACTCTTTAAATAACATCTTTAAACCCTAATCTTTCCGATTACTGCTTATACTCTTATCACCTCTACCACTATGGGATTTGAATCGACAATTGTATCTCTGTGCTAATGTGGTTTGGCAACTCGAACTGATGTACGTACGTACGAAGTTCTACGTTGTTACTGACTGACTGAAATCTCATCCTACCAAAAGCGTAGCACACACTGTGATTAGTGAGTTGTTTTTGGTTCAATCAACGTCATGCCTTCTGTTAAAAATGTATACATATCACAAAAAATATTTTGTTTCACCAATAAAAAAACATGCTCCAATGTCATTGTAAACACTTACTTTAGGGGTATGTGAATTTATACACCTTTCTAAAACGAAAATGTTTTCATAGTCCGATGGAATTTCAGACACCTAGGGAGTTGGTTTTGCCTTAAATAAACTGAGTATGCTAAATAATGTAAAATGTAATTCAGTAGTCTGGTACAGGGCATCATTAGTTTGTGGCAACACACACCGATGCACATAACTTACTAATTGATTAGTCTATGAGTCATATTTGTTATCTGAATCGCACTAGTAACTGACTATGTAAATTTTGAGGGGAGTAAAATGTAACATGCTTATCATTCTAATATGTAACTATGATAATACCTAAAGTAATACATCTGTTTATGATCACCTATAACATAATTTAGGATTGCACTAGCCAGTAAGTATCTGGTCTCATTAATGCGATGGCGTTTGAAACGAAAAGTACTGGGTCCGAGTGTTGGAGCAAACATCGACTCCGATGCTGCTACATTTAGCTGACGAGTCCCAGATAAGATGGAACGCTCGACCTGGAATTCACTGCCAGTCACTATCCATCTCTGCTTATAATTTAGAAGAACTTCTTTCCGAATTTATTTTAGTTCTTGAATTTTAGAAGAGCGTTTTTATTAAAATCATTTAATCAATTCTTATGTTATTATTAATTTTTTTATTATTAATAATGGCTTTATTCAACATTATATTTTGGTACAATATTGACTTCTCAGCACAAACATCCTCATTTTTAACATGGATTTTGTTCGTTACCTATTATCTAGGCTATGCTTCTTCAATTGATCACTGCTATTGGTGCACTTCTGGGTTCATCTGTTAGCTTACTTGCTGCACGTGTTAGTATTGGTCCTATTGTTTTTGATGCTAATATACTACCAGTTGTAACAGATGATGTTGTTATTGGTTGCATTTTACCATTTACTGCCGGTGGTTTTATCTACATAGCTATGACTTCTGTGCTACCTGACCTGTTGGCAACTAATAATAACACCGGTACTACTACTAATACACAAAAAACACGAAACAATGGATTAAAATCATTCGTCCAAAGTCTACTTGAAATAATTTCTTTAATTAGTGGCGTTGCAATGATGGCTGCTATCGGAACACTGGAATAAAGATGTAAACAAGTATATTTTGTGTCTGTAGAGAAAAAAAAAACAAACTAGGTTGATATGACAAATGTAGTATAGTTTATTTTTTCTGTTTATGCATACTGGCACTTTTTGCTGCAATCTAGTCCCCTCGTATCCTGTTTTTCTTTTTCGTTTGTTTGTTCATATTTCATAAAATCTACTTTTAAGTGAAGCAAAGAAATTCAAAGTAAAAAGCATTTTCAGAGTACAACGTACTATTTAAAGAAAATTACAATTCATTTGCTCGTATACTTTCTGTCTCCCTTCGTATACTTTTTTCTTTATTGTTAATTATGTTGTTGTTGTTTTCTTCAGTTAAGTTTGATCTTGTTCCAATGATTTTCATTTTTTATCATGATTTAGTAATACTTCCATTGTACTATTTATTGTTGTAAGATGATTAATTTTGGTGGAGTTTTGTTCTCTGAGCTGGATGAACGACCAAACCATCCAAATCATCCACCTGAGCTACAAATCTTCTCCACTATCTCAAAATGATTAATATATTTGTATAGTTTTCTTATATATTTTTATCTTGTTGGTTGAATGGTTCTAAATGATTGTTTCTCTTTTTTTGATATTGTTATCGTTCTTATCATAGAACTTAATAATCCAAAAAGAAAAGAAACTTTTGAAGTGAACCAAACATTTACATTTCTATCATCGATTTTCTTCTTCTTATTATTATTTGGTATGGTATATTTGTATTTTGTATTTAATAACAAACGAAAGCAGTTTATTACATAATCACAATTGTACATCGATCAGAACTTCCCTTTTGTGTTGGTGCTTTTTTTTAAATTATCCATAACTTTATATTAGTTTGTTCATTTCATTTGTTTTTTTCTTCACCGGTATGTTTGACTTATTATTTTGGTAAAGTGATTTTGTTTTTCTACTAACTGTTGCAGTTGGATGGAGGAAAGATTATTGTTCAATATGGTACATAATTGCTTTATTTATTAATTTCAAACATTGGGCCTGAACAGGCAGTTATGAATTTCATAGTTTGGTGGTGTGTTTTGAGTATATAATTCCAAAGGTTCTTTCACTGGGCATCAAGGTTGGTGATGTGTGGGTATGAAACAACGGCTTATAGACTTTCAATCGGACATTCAACATAATTACAGGCCTGTATCGTATTGCTATTTAATCATGAAGAAATGTCGATCCTAAAAGTGTCATACCTCACCTTACCCCACAGGTTTCCGTCTCCGGCATTAAAGCTTTTGAAGTGTGGAGCTAAAACATCAGGAACTTCCCATAAAAAAGCCGTGCGCGACCGGCCCGAAACAGTTGTCCCTTGGGCTCTGCAGTCAAGCTTCCAGGCTGCTAAGGCTACTACTAATTCAGATTCCATTTTAGGTCCCAAAAGAAGAAATATTTTCCTGCGGTGTTAGCAACCGGGATGTACCAACCAGTCTCATACCTCCTTCAGCACCATAGATCATCTTGTTGACGATCGAGTCCTCGCTCACTTCTTAATGATTCTGCCATCCTCACGAATAGCCCTTCTAATTTACCTTTATCTTTATGCACCAATAATGCTGGTGATTTGAGTTCACGAAGTGTTATACCTGTTCTCCTGAAACCACGCTCTAAACTACATGTTAGGGCTTTTAATGTTCGAACATTGCGTCGGATAGTAAAACAATCTTCTTTAGCTAGAACTTTAGAATCTCACAAGTTGGATGTGTGCTTCGTCACCGTAACCCACATACAGGGTCTGACTATGGTCATTCGTTTAACTTTGTCGATTTATTCTTCGTGTATCTGGAGACCCCACTGCGCATATATATTGGCGCTCTCTTGTACCAATATTTATGTGTTCAAATAAATAATAAATAAACTTCCCATAACCTCACTAGTGTAAGAAAAGCGCTAATTCCGAAAGCTGGATTCCAATAAATAGTTGCTTGCGCTCTCCCTGACTAAACGGACGGTAAGAGCTTGAAAAGTTAGTGACACACGCCATTGCCTTTTCGTTATCTCTGCATGCGCTCCCACTGATTGCAGATGGGAGGATGTTAAATGTTATAGAAAGCTATGTATAAGAAGGGACAGAGATCCTTTTTCAAACATGGTATCTAAAATATTCGTCTCAATTATATTTCGATGTCTAACTAGAAGTCGTTAAGAGCGAACACGAGAAAACCAGGCTAGTTTCAGACCTGGACTTGGATGTATAGGCCAACTATTCACCCTTCGGCAGATTCTGGAGCATACACTTCTCGACATTCTGCTATAGTCCTGTTCTTTGGACTTAAGACAGCATTCAACTCTGTTGATCGTGAGGTTCTGTGGCAGTGTCTCATTGAAAGATGTACCAAGTAAGTGCATTTATTTTGTTTAAGCTCTCTACTCGATCATTTCCGGCCGAATCAGAGCTTGTAGCGAACTGTCGTCGGAACTGGTTACTTCAGGTGGTTCTCATCACGGTTGTCTGCTGCTTCCGTTTTTATTTAACTTGGATATGGACGTACTTTTAGAGATAATGCTTTCATCGTCTGACTTTTCACGAGTTGATCTTCTACCGGAAGATTCACTTGTTGACTCAGAATATATAGGTGATATAGTTTTGTGTGGTGAAGACGCCGATAAAATTCAATCTTCTGACCACCTTAAGGAACAATCAAAGCATTTTTGTGATGCGGTTCTCTCCCTCCAAATGTAAAATGTTACTTCAGGATTGGCTTGGATCATTGCCTGAATTAGTGACAGGGAGTGAAGTAGTTGAACTCACTTCACTTATGAGCGTCTAAACAATACTGATGGTATGGTGCCTGACAAAATCGCGGCACGGATCGAGAAGGCTCGATTGGCTTTTGTCAGCTCGTGTCCAATGTGGCGTTGGGAAGATGTCCGCCTGTCAACCAAAGGGCAAGTTTACTGAGCAACAGTTCGCTCCGTTTTACTCTACGGATGTGAAACGGCCATTAAAAGTAGGGGATATTCGTTGGTTACTGATAAGTGATCATAGGTTTCTACGAAGCATTGCTCGTGTATTTTGGGACCACGGAGTAAACAATACCTGGGTTAGGGATAGAGTACTTAGTAAAGATGAATAGTCAGTAGATGAGATAGTAAATCATCATCATATTCCCGCTCAACACCTAGCTCGACGGGTGATGTTTCCTAGTTATAATTTGAAATATGAGTATATAGCAACTATCCTACAACTAATTTCGATTATGGTTAAGCTTGGTTAAACCCTTTTATTAACTTACTTAATAGACAATGTTATTTGAATAATAACAATTTATCTATTTCTTTGTACTATTACAATCACTAGATCACATGACAGACTCTAGATAAAATGTTAATCACTTAAATATCACTCGGTGAATATTATATGTACTCAAATCTAATTATTAGTCCTTTGTTTTACTGCGCCCTTATGCAATTTGACTATAAATTTACTTATGTAATCATTCGTATATACTTGTTTAAATCTCTTTAAACTGCAAAATCGTGTATGGAGGACAGCATATTTACAACTGAAGAATATCTGGAACTCAAAACAACAGTCCACAAGCCAACACCAAAGTCAGAATTTACAATACAAATGTCAAGACAGTTCTACTGTCTACTGGGGCGGAAATCTGGAGAACTACGAAAGCCATCATCCAGAAAATACAAGAGTTTATTAACAGTTGTCTACGCAAAATACTTCGGATCCGTTGGCCGGACACTATTAGCAACAACCAATTGTGGGAAAGAACAAACCAGATCCCAGTGGAGGCAGAAATCAGGAAGAAGCGTTGGAAGTGGATAGGACACACATTGAGGAAAGCACCGAACCGTGTCACAAGACAAGCCCTCACATGGAATCGTCAAGGTCGAAGGAAAAGAGGAAGACCAAAGAACACATTACGCTGGGAAATGGAGATAGACATGAGGAAAATGAACAAGAATTGGATGGAATTAGAAAGGAAGGCTCAGGACAGAGTGGGTTGGAGACTGCTGGTCGTCGGCCTATACTCCATTAGGAGTAACAGGCGTAAGTAAGTAAGTAAGTAAGTATTTACCTCTCCACTTCAAATTCACTTGACATTACTTATAGCTTTGTGATATGCGCTATCAACTAATAAACTGTAGTTGCTGTTTCTTATTGCCTTCTAATTTTAAACATCGATGAAGTTTATATATCAACAGTTATAAGGATGATCAATTAACAAATTAACGCAAATATAAGTAAATAATACTTTTACTTATTTAAAAACAAGTTATTTACAATTGTCAATACTGTTTTTTTTGTTCTTTTTATCATAATAACATTCTATCTTTTTCAATTTTAGTAACATTTGCATAATCACCACCGGCTTTTTCACGTTCTTCATTAAATTCTTTAGTGATTTTTTTAATTTCTATTAATTGTAATAAATTTTTCCATAAATTCACTTGTTTTAAACCAAATTTTTCATTTTCTAATAAAGATTTCTGTTCTTGTTTTAATGTTTTAGTTAAAGCTTCTTGTTCAGCTATTTTACGTGTATAAATTTCTCTAGTAGTAATAATAACAATAAAAAAGAAAAAGACAGAGAAATGAAAACTGACATAAATAAACAAGAATTCAGAACATAGATGTTTTTTTCATACTTTTGTTTATACTATGATCTTCATCTAATGGTATTGATATGTAATTGATTGAGATCATGAACCGATTGATGTTAGACCATCGTTGGAAACCTGGAAGCACTGGACGCGGCTATCTCCTCCTAGTATGGGACTCCTCAGCAATGCTCATCCACGATCCCGCCTCGCGAGATTCGAACACAGGGCCTTCAGTCTCGCGCGCGAACGCCTGATCTACTGGACCACTGGGTAGGCATCCAATGGTGTTAGTGTTTAACATCAACCAATCCACATGACCACCTTCCATTGTACTGAGGTAGATACCTGTCTCTACCCGACACGGATTAGCTCCACTGGTCACGGTTTCTCGCTAGAACTCCGAGAATTCCTTCACGAAGCTAGTCACCAATGAGCACATGTTAATTATCAGTATAGGGGTTGTGGAGATCAATCGGTTCATGATCTCAATCAAGAACTTAATAATCTCCACAACCCCTATATTGATAGCTATTTATATGTTATGACTCATTTTCAACTTGATTAGCTCCAAAGAAGTCCGAGTAGAACTTGAAGTAGTTTTGTGTAATTTTAAAGTAAATTTATCTTATCCACAGACAATATTTATTTAAAGAAAAGGAGAAAATCAAAATGGACTGACATGATAGCTAATTTGTATGAGTCTATAATTTATGGACGACCTTTGAGCGACTACTCCAGACTGACCATGAGCGTCCACCTGATAACCAGAACTAGATGAGGGTTATAAACCTGTGTGCGGAATTAGAATTATGATATACAGTTGATAGTTAAGGTTGGGAATTAGATTCAAGGTTTTCATCACGAACTGACATCAGTTATGGTGCCATAAATCTATTTCTCCAAATGGATGAATGAAACCTGTTATCCTATACCTGATTGGTTCGTCCATAAATTATAGTTTCACAATAATTCGTACTAGTTTAAGATTATTCCACCTTGTTATAATGCAACAAATATTTTAAAAGTTAGAACTGGTTTTTGAGAATTAATATAAATTATAATTTTGTTTTATAATTAATGAATAACTAGATTACTATGTATATGTATTCCTTTCATCATAAACATTCGTTTAATCTACTAACTATTGTTGTACAACTCAGTATTCCTAATTTGTTGCTAGTCGATTATTCACAGTCTCACCTACTAACAATCACTTTTAGCTTATTTATATATAGTTATTATTTTCCATTTAATGGTATGATGCGGTCTGGTCTGTGTGAAATATAATATAATAGAGGTCGGCTGCTGATATAAGGGAAAGAAGAGAGAAGTTAGAGAATTGTGAGCTGATAGAAACAAAACATTGAATCAAGGTTGATAGTACGGTGAAACTGTACTTCATAGACGACCTTCGAGTAACTCTAAAGTAACCTTGGGACGACTTATCTACTTACTGTAGTCAAAAAGGGTTATAAACTAGTATCAGGAATTAAATTAAATGTTTTCATCACAATTTGACATCACCCATAATGCTGGTCGGTCATGCATTAGCAGAATCCGAAACATTAATAGTGAACGGTAATTAGACCAAATTCGAATCGGAATTCTGATAAGTGATTTGTCATGTGATATTGATCAGCGACGTAATCCTCCTGGTATTAGTTTATGATGGAAATGATCTTTAGCTTACAGAAAATCTCTGCATAAATCATTCAACTCGGCATCGATAAGGTTATGTTAAACTCTTCATATTATAAACTTTCGAAGTGTGTTGTACGATCTGTGTACAAATCTGTTACAACACATTCCATTGAAAGCTCTTGAGAATTTCTTAGTAATGTTGACGGTGTAAGCATTAAGAATTTCATGGATGAAAGTGATGTGGAATGCTTCTTTACTGACAATCAGTTGAACATAGTACAATCGAAATAATAAAGATCATGAACGAGACACACTTAAAAATCACCTTTCATGACGAAACAATTTCAGCTTGTTTACAGGGATTTATTTATCTTGCTAGTAACGAACTGTACTTGACCTTCAAAACTTTAATAAAACTCCTAATGTAATAATATATATATTCAATTGTAATCGGTTATTAATCATTGTAACGTTCAAATCCTTTAAAACATGATATTGTTAATCTGATTGTTACTTAGCCTGAAAATCACAATCCACTACTTCTAAAGTGATAGATTTCTATGAATACTACTGAATATGCTTATTTTATGATGATAATTTGTACTGTTTGATATTTAACATAAGTAAATCACAATATCACTTAGATATTTTTTTTTAGAAAACCTATGTAGTGAAAGATCATAAACAATCATAAGTAAGTCCTAACAATATAGAGAAGTCTCACAATAGGACGAAACGGCCGTCCAGTGCTTCCAGGTTTTCCATGGTGGTTTAGCTTCAATTGACTCATGATCTCAACTATTGAAATAACTACAATCTCCACAAAATCCCTTTTTATATTTTGATCGGATTATGTAACAAAGATTTGTAAGTTTTAAAAACACAAGGATGAGTCACTTACCTGTAACTTTTTCTTTTCTCCATAGTTTCATTTGTACTTTCAGTTTTATTAGGTGATAAAGCAACATGACTACTACTAGTTACATAACCACGTATTTCATTTTCTAAACGATTTTGTTGAATATGTAATAGGTCTAGATTGGCAGTTAAATAATGAAATTTTGATTCTTCATTTTTTTCCGCTTCACGTATTGTACGTACTTCTTGTTCTAAACGAATAGATTGAGATTCTTGACTAGCTGTTAATGCATCATAAGCGGATTTTTTCTCAACATGTATTTGACCAAGTTCCTATGGGATTTATTCAATAAATATTATTTAAGTTAGTATCATTTGTAATGATCATACTACAATATATGTTTATCTTCTATTTTATGAAGGTAAAATTGAATAATAACGGCTTGATTAATATTTCAGAATTCTACTTTTCATTATTACATCCAACCTTAATTTAATGTATGAGTATATATAGAGCCGTATAATTAGAGAATTATCAGTTTTAATCCGTATTGTTTGTTCGACACATTCCATCACGTCTTCAGTTTGTCTAATTACCTGGAATTTAAACTTATATAATGAAATGTATTTCATTAATCTATGGCTGTATACACATATCTAGCTAAAGTGAAGCCCATTAAGTTTCTTATGATATCATATACTTACTTATTTACTTACGCCTGTTACTCCTAAAGGAGTATAGGCCGACGACCAGCAGTCTCCAACCCACTCTGTCCTGAGCCTTCCTTTCTAATTCCATCCAATTCTTGTTCATTTCCCAGCGCAATGTGTTTTTTGGTCTTCCTCTTTTCCTTTGACCTGGAGGATTCCATGTGAGGGCTTGTCTTGTGACACGGTTCGGTGCTTTCCTCAATGTGTGTCCTATCCACTTCCAACGCTTCTTCCTGATTTCTTCCTCCACTGGGATCTGGTTTGTTCTTTCCCACAATTGGTTGTTGCTCATAGCATCCGGCCAACGGATCCGAAGTATTTTGCGTAGACAACTGTTAATAAACACTTGTATTTTCTGGATGATAGCTTTCGTAGTTCTCCAGATTTCCGCCCCAGTTGACAGTAGAACTGTCTTGACATTTGTATTGTAAATTCTGACTTTGGTGTTGGCTTGTGGACTGTTGTTTTGAGTTCCAGATATTCTTCAGTTGTAAATATGTTGCTCTTGATTTTCCAATCCGCGCTTTCACATCTGCATCAGATCTACCGTGTTCATCATTGATGCTGCCTAATTATGTTAAGGTTTTTAGATCTTACAAATCTTCTCCGTCAATTGTGACTCAGTTGTTGCATACTGTGCTGTATCGGAGAATCTTGCATTTCCCCTTATGTATGTTGAGACCTAGTGGTGCTGAGGCTGCTGCTACACTAGTCGTCTTCTGCATTTGTTGTTGCGTTTGGGATAGAAGAGTCAAATCATCTGCGAAGTCTAGATCGTCCAACTGCATCATAGATGTTCATTGTATCCCGCGCTTCCCTTCAGACGTTGACGTCTTCATGATCCAGTCGATCACCAGGGGAAAGAGAAAGGGTGAGAGTAAGCAACCTTGCCTGACACCGGTCTTTACCTTGAAAGAGTCTGTCAATTATCTTCCATGCACGATTTTGCAGTGTAATCCATCATATGAACACTGTATGATATTGACTATCTTCTGAGGCACGCCGTAGTGTCGAAGAAGCTTCCATAGTGTTGTTCTGGCCACGCTATCAAATGCCATTCAATTGATTGTTTCACAATGATCCATAGAGTTGCGATTTGGTCTGTACACGATCTATCCTTACGGAATCCTGCCTGTTGGTCACGAAGTTGGGCGTCTACGCAGTCCTTCATCCTGTTTAAAAATACCCTGTTGAAGACTTTTCCCGGTATTGAGAGAAGAGTGATGCTCGTGTAGTTATCACAGTTGCTGAGATCGCCTTTCTTCGGCATTTTGATCAGGAGTCCTTCTTTCCAGTCTGTTGGTACTTGTTCCTCATCCCAAATCTTATTGAAGAGAATGTGGAGTATCCTTGCAGTTGCCGCTACGTCTGCTTTTAGTGCCTCTGCTGGGATGTTGTCCGGTCCTGCTGCTTTGCCACTCTTGATTTGTCTGATGGCCATGCTGATTTCTTCAATTGTTGGTGGGCCAACATTGATTGGGAGGTCCGTGGGTGCTGCTTCGATGTTGGGTGGGTTCAGTGGAGCTGGTCGATTCAAGAGTTCTTTGAAGTGTTCTACCCACCTGTTTTGTTGTTCTTCAATATTGGTGATTACCTTGTCTTCCTTGCTTTTCACTGGTCGTTCTGGTTTACGGTGATTTCCAGACAGTCTCTTTGTCGTGTCATACAATTGTCTCATGTTTCCT